TTAGTACACCGGAGGGCAGGGAGCAGATTCAGGCCGACCTGGACAGGTTGGATCAATGGGCAGAGAAAAATAGGATGCAATTTAATAAAGATAAATGTAAGGTACTCAGCCTTGGAAGGAGGAATCCCCAGCACAACTATAGGTTGGGGAGTGTCCTCAGCAGCTCGGAGGCAAAGAGGGATCTTGGAGTCATAATTGACTCCAAGATGAACATGAGCCGGCAGGGTAATGAGGCTATCAACAAGGCCAATTGCACCTTGTCGTGCGTTAGCAGGTGCATGACTAATAGATCAAAGGAGGTGATGCTCCCCCTCTATGCGGCTCTGGTCAGGCCACAGTTGGAGTACTATGTCCAGTTTTGGGCACTGTACTTCAAGAGGGATGTGGGGAATCTGGAGAGGGTCCAGAGGAGCGCCACTTGCATGATTAGTGGCCTTCGTGATAGACCCTACAGAGGGAGTTTGAGAGAGCTGAATCGCTTCAGCCTTTGCAAGAGACGGCTGAGGGGAGACCTTGTGGCCGCCTATACATTTATTAGGGGAGGTCAATGGGGAATAGGGGAAGCACTGTTTACTAAGGCGCCCCAGGGAGTGACTAGGAATAACAAGTGTGAACTAGTTGAGAGTGGATTTAGGTTGGATATTAGGAAGAAATTTTTCACAGTAAGGGTGGCCAGGATCTGGAATGGGCTTCCAAGAGAGGTGGTACTATCACCTAGTTTGGAGGTCTTCAAGAGGAGGCTAGATAGTCACCTGGCTGGGGTCATCTGACCTCGGTCCTCTTTCCTGCCAGGGGTAGGGGGTCGGACACGATGATCCATTGTGGTCCCTTCTGCCTCTACAATCTATGAATCATTATGTGCCTCCTTCAGGCAGGCGGTTTTATAGGGAGAGCAAGTATGGAAAGAACAGGGATCCTACTGAGTTTGAGGGGCAGAATTCAGATCCCAAGCAGGCTTTCAAATGTAGTTCAGTGTTTAGGTTTGGGGTTTGGCCTGGCATATTAGCATCATAATAGGCCATGTCGGTAGTTTTGGATTCAGACCCTGCTGTTCGTTCTTTTTGTTAAGGAGGTTTCCCAAGCACAAATTTGCATCTATTTAGAACTTCTTTTTTTTTAAGCACCCAGATCTTATCACTTGGATAAAAGCCAAACTCATTTGCAAATGAGAAAAAAAAAGCAAGGGTGAAAAAAGAATTGTGGAGGCTGCTTTCAAAAAGCACAACAGCAGAGTGTCTAAATAGAAGACTTTTGCTTTGATAGATTATTTTTGCCTCCCTTTGTCGTCTCCTTTCAGCTTTGAATACCCCAGCCAATTCAAGCAACAAGAATTTATTCTTTGCGATGGCCTATATAATAGTGAGAAATAGGACTGTGGGGAGCTGCTTTTATCACGTTTTGGGATAAGTTGGTAGTTTCCAGTCTCTAATTAAAAAGCAGTCAGCTGGGATGTAGAATGGCTTGAGTTATATGCTCTTTGTAGAAGACACATTAGCAATCTTATTCTGTGCAAATTTGACTAGCTAATTATGCGCTGTACCTTCCCTGCTATGCTCTCATTTGTATTGTTTTCTGTCATGCTTAGATCTTCAAATGAATGTAGATATCTCGTTCTCCTGATTTCAGTGGGAGTTAGATGCTTCAATACATTTAAATACTTGGCCCTAAGGCAATTGTCCTAGGTCATAGGATCATAGAGCATGTAAGACAATATGCTCATTGCTCTCTAGGTCAACAGTGTGAATCCACCTCCACTTAGGTCAAAAGTAGTTATCTGGCCACATTAAATAATTTGGTGGCCTTTGGCATGTGAACAAAGGAAACAACACAAAAGCTATTATTAAAACTGGCCCCAAGGGGCATCATGGTTGATGATGCCAGTAGAGTGATTAAAGGCAGAGTAGTGTGTGGGGAATAAACTAACTTCTCATCTCTGGAGTCAGGGCTGAATCATATTAGTGGAGTAGTTGGGGAAGTTAGGGCAATTACAGGCAGTGCTGCTTTTAGTGGCTAGAGAGAGGACTTCACTGTGCAAAAATGCTTTTCATTAGCATTAAACTCATCTTTGCCCTCTAAAAACAAAACAAAACAGTATTCCACAATTTTGATGGCTTCATTACTTTGCTGACAACCTTGAAATTCAATATAAAAAAGGAAGTAATTGGTTCAATAGCACACACCTGAGAAGGTGATCTTCAGTCCACTAAAGCTTGTGCTTATATATAGAAAGAGCTTTCCTGGGCTGAATCTTACTTTCTCAGGTGTGTACTACTGAACCTTCAGATGCACAGTAGCACACACACTTTGGTAAGTTTATAAGGTGCAAATCTACCCTGCCTTCTAATTGGTTCAATAGTTTGATGAAACAACATATAGCCAATCAGACATGAAACTAACTGCTCAGGGGGGTTAAAATACAAAATTAGCTTATGAGGACTCTGGGGAGAGATTCCCAGGAAGTAGCTTTGGATAAAGGTTGCATTGCATGAACATAGCAAAAATGTTGCTGCTTTTTTGTGAAATGTGCTCTCATTTTCCCATGATCTTGGGACCTCTTTTCATATCCAAGTTGTAAACTTCCTGAGATGATACTTCATCATGGAATCATTGTACCTGTGCCTAGGAGTGGTTGCTATCAATGGGAGTTGGGGGCAATCTGCATCCAGAAGAAAGGCAGTTTGCATGGAAATCACTATTGGAAAAAATGGTCCTCAAGACCATCCCCTGCTACCAGTGCTAGATTGTTTCTTCTAATAAATTAATTTTTCCTTTGACTAGTTCAGCTTTAAATTACAGTCAGTTGGGCCTTCATTGCTTTGTTCCTTTGTTTAAACTTGTTAATTTGTATTTGGCTATCACAAGTTTTAGTGCAATGGAGAAAAGACAGGGCTCCACATTCAGAAAACATAAAAGTGACTTCTTTATTCAGCATATTGAATGTGTGTAGACTTGGTAGCTTTCTGTGGCCATATCTACACGTGCACTTTAATGTGTAGTAGCCTATTTTATAGGGCTGTGCGAAGCTTCAGATGGTTATTCGATTCGGAGGAGATTCGGCCTGATTTGGTGGCAGAATCTCCAAATCCACATCGAATCAGAGGACTAATTTAAAGGTCTGAATTGATTCAAAGCTCTCCGAATCTTTGGCAAAGATTCGGAGAGGTTTGGTGATTCAGACAAACCCCGGTGGCTGCAGCAGGGAGCTACAGACACTCCAAGCTGGTAAGTACTAGGGCAGAGGCGGGCAATTATTTTGGGCAGAGGACCGCTTACTAAGTTTCGGCAAGGCAGCCCAGGGCAGATTAATATTCATTTTCTAAATTTTTTAGGTGTTCTGTGGGCCGGATAGAATGGCCTGGCGGGCTGCATCCGGCCACTGGGCCACATTTTGCCCATGCCTGTACTAGGGGCAGGGGATGGGTGGCAAACAATGGGGGGACTCCTGCCTGCTCCCGCAGCCCTCCCATGGCTCTCCCTGCCTGCCCCAGCTCGGTACTTTAAAAAAAAGCCACGGTGCTCACTGGGTGCTGCCGGGCGAGGGGGGGGGGTGTCCCCACTGCCCCCACTGCCCCCCACTGCCCTACAGTGCATGGTGGGCTCTGTATGAGCCCCCTCAACCCCCCCACTTCTCCAGCCCTCCCATGCCTGCCCCCCCTTCTGGGGCTCTGGCCCTTTAAGAAAAAAAAAAAGCCAAGAAAAGCACCAGGACCCACTGCTCCTGGTGCAGCCTCAGGGCTCCCAGGGCTTGTGCAGAGCCCCCCACGTGGCATGGGGCAGTGGGGGGCAGCAGGGATTACCCCTCGCTGGCAGGAGCGCTGAGTCCTGGGGTTTCTTCAGGTTTGTTTTTTTTCTTAAAGGAGCTGGCCCAGGCAGTGCAGCCATGAGGGGGCTGGGGAAGCATGGCAGGGTGGGGGTTGGGGACTCATGCAGAGGCCCCCATGCAGTGGGGGGCAGCGGGGATCACCCCGCCCAGCAGTACCTGCTGAGCTGGGGCTTTTTTCCCCCAAGTATGGGGAGCTGGGCTGGGAGAGGGGTGGGGGATGGGCTGCTGCCGAATCTCCGAATCAGATTCAGCCAAATCAAATCAGGACAGTGATTCGAATCACCGAATTGAATCACTGTCCCCTGAATCGGCTGAATCCAAAGCGAATACTAGCCACTTTGCGCAGGCCTACTATTTTACTGAGTGTTAGAGCACCACAACAAAAGCCATACTAACACACTAATGTGCAGTAAATTAGGCTACTGTGCATTAAGCATCAATAAAAAGGCATACACTTTTGCTACTGTGTCTTAGGGAAGCCCAATGCACATTTAGTTAGTACCATACATTAGAATTACTATCTGTAACGTGCAGTAACAAAAGCTCATTAATGAATGTGTAGAGGCACCCTGTATCTCAAGGTTTCAGGCTGAGGAATATACACTGTACTGCCTGGCCCTATCAATGTCAGTGATAAAACTTCTATTGAATTTAGGGGTGCCAGGACCTTTCTAAATCTACCCTAAGCAGTCATGGGATGAATTGCTGACACTATATTACAGAGCTGCCCAATTAAATGCCTTTATTCTAGGAGTTGGTTCTCTGTCAGAGTGGATGAGCTGCCAGGTAATAATTAACTTAGATATTCCATAGAGGGTCCATTGAAGAGTTCATCTTCAAAAGGCTGCAATTTACTCATTGTCTGTGAATAATTTATGGGGAGACATAAAAAAACAATGCACAATCCATCACAGGTGGTGGAAAAGCAAAATAAACTTCCTGAGTAAATATTTTCTTATACTTTTTCCCCTTAAAATCTCTTCTGACATTTTGAAGATCTGTTTAGATTCAGCAGTTAAGGTCATGAAGTGACCTGAATTAGTCTGAGAGAATGCTGGTGACTTGCCCTTTCTGAAAGGTAATATTGAATCAGCATTAATTTTCTTTTTCTGTAATTCATTCTGTATCCACTAATTCTTTTTTGTTCTGTAACTCAAAATATAGTCAGTGCTTATATAACAGGTGCAATATGAGAAGCCAAGGCAGATAAAGTTAGACAGATGGATCTTTTATGGCCAGTTTTCAAAGCTTGGAGACTGGAGTTAGGCATCTAAATAAAAGCAGTCTGATTTTTTCCAAACCGCTGATTGCTGAACAGCTCCTGTTGCTTTCACTGGAAGTTATATCTATTCTGCTCTCCCTCTGAAATCAGGACGCCTCCATTTTGGTGTCTAAACATTTCTCTCGGGTCTTGGTAACTAGGATTGAACAGTTAGCCTAGAAGTTGCATAATTAAAATTTCTTCATCTCACGTTTGTTCCACTGTAAATTTTCACCATCTTATTTATTTTAGAATGAAAAAATGAGAAGTGATTGCTTTTTTTGGCCACTTTTATAAATCCCATATATGAGTAGAAAGGTAGTTTGCTGTATTAGAAGTCAGGCAGAAGGCAAGGCAGGGTAGCATCTTACTAACAGATTCAAAGTGGCATAAGCACTCATAAATAACAGTCTACTTCACAGCATCTGACAAAGTAGCCTGTTGCCAATGAAAGCTTAAACCTTTTTGATTTAATCACTAAGGTGCTGCCCAGTTCTGCCTTTTGCCAGTTTTCCTTTAGTAATAACCATGTCATTTCTTGCAGGAGAAAAAATAGCCATGGTTTTAGAATGGATAAAAACCATAAAGAAAATTAACCAATGAATTCTCTTAGGACTTAATGCAGACTCTGAAGTCAGTAGAGAATGGTTCCTGTGGATAGTCAGGCATGTGCTTAATTTAAAGTATGTGCTTATGTATTGTTTATTGTGACTCAGAACGTGCTTTGTTGAACACTGATCAACTTAAGGATGCAGTTGATCTACGCTGATCTATCACCTGATATTTTAGTTTTTTCTAAAGTCAGTGACATGCCACAGGCTTAGTAAGGGGGAATGCCCCTTTCCTCCCTGAATATTTGGATTTACAAAATATTCTCTCAAGACACAAATTAAATGCTTATTTGCAGAAAGAGAAGTGAAACGATGCACCCCCACAGAAAGAGCTGAAGATAAACTTGTTGAAGCTCAAAGGGCTGTCAGCCTTGATAACAGTTTCTGAGTAGACCATACCAGATAAAAGAGCCATAAAGCAGCTGGTGCTGCTCCTGGTCAAATAGAAAAAGACCAAAAACTCCCTTCGAGGAAAGAGAAATTAAAAAAAAAAAAGAGAGAGAGAGAAATAAAAAGATTGAGAGTGGGAGGATATTTAGAAAGGAAAATTTCCATAATATAAAGGCAGTACAAATTCAGTCACTTATTATTGTGATTAACATTTGCAGAGATGGAAGAAGGCAACAGGTAAAGTCACAAAACTGAAAAATCCTCAAGGGTTTATAAATATAATACAAACATTTTGCTAAGCTAAATAAATAAAAGAAGCTAGGTACCCCCAATAGAGAAGGCAGGCTCACCAACGTTGCACTGGCATTAGATTTACATTTTCCTTGCTCAATTACAATTCTGTCAGACATCAACTGAAAAATGGTATATCAGTATCTCTAGTACCTGCATATCCTAATTTTATGAAGTATCCAGTGATTTTTTTTTTTCTTGTCTCAAGTTCTGGGTGCCCAACTTGAGACACGTTAAAGGGTGCTGGTTTTCAAAACATGCTGAGTAAGCACTCATCCTTTGAGTCCTGAGCCCTTTTTGGGTGTCTCTAGGTAGGTAACCAAAACATTTATGGCACCCGAAATCATTAGTCACTTTTGCCAACATTTGGTTTAGTTTGAACTTTAATGGGGGTAGTAACATTTTGAGGCTTTTCAAAGAAATGAGATCTCATTTGCTGGCCAAGGTTTCCCAAAGCAAAACCTGAAAGGGTTAAAGTTAAACTTTCTCCCAGTGAATTGGATTACCTGGCATGAAATTCTCTTGCCTCCCATAGGTAGACAAGGTTCTTTGGGTAAATCTGATATCATTTATTAGACCAACTCAATTCTTGGTTTACATAACACTGACTGGATATTTTGTATCTGGGGCACTACACAAATCACGGTTACACTGAGAAAACACAACATAAGCAGGTAAAACTTAAGATATCACATGCATGTACATATATATTTCACACACATGCACAACACTCATTTCTAATCTCCTGCAGGAGATTTATCTTATTGGAAATTCCATTACACTCGATCAGAATGCCATTGCTGTGTTTTCTTCCTTCATATTCATATTTATACTGGTCTTCCTAGTTTCTACTCGAGGGCTGTTAACCCAGTGATCAAAGCATACACCTAAGTCCAAGGGAACAACCTGTTATTTCTACCACAGTGTGTCAGTTAGTTCAATGAAGGTTTTTCAGAAAGTGTTAACCCTTGACCCCACCAATGTGAGAATAAGATCCAAATGTCCTAAGGAACTATGACAAGCAATGATTTTGATTTTTATGAATTAGTTCCAGTGGACTTTTATTATATCTAAACAAAGAATAGTAATTTATTCTGAGAAATATATGACCATATTATCACATAAATACCAATTTTTCTGGTATACAACATATACCCCGCTCCAAAAAATAGATGCTGGAAATTGGGATACACATTATAAGTAAGGAAATATAGCAGTCACCATTTCTGCCACTTACGTTTCTGCCAGGCAAAAGGAAAAGTAATTCTACATACAATCCACAGGCAGCAGAACAATGAATAAACTTGGCTCCCTAGCTACTGCTATTCAGTTACTTAATACAAGGTTCATTCTATCTTGCAGAAACAAGTTGCATATCTTATTCTAGGCACGTTTTATGTGAGAAAGTATGGTATATGAAAGATATCTTTGTTTACTTCATCCAGGAATGTCCAACTTCTAAGTGGCTGGGGACCACATGCCCCAGGGCTGCATGCCATGAGGGCTTTACTAGCAAGGACCACAGCCTCCAGGCTGTGCACCATGTACCTATGCAGGTGAGCACTCCCCAACCATGCTGTATCAAATACACTCAGGTTTAAGCTCCCCCACCCTGCTACACTGTATGCATGTGGGTGGGCATCCCCACACACAACCCCCATACAGTGCAGCAGCCTGTCTCACCTGCAGCTTACAGCAAGCTCCCTTGTAGCACTGTGTTGCATAGATACATGGACTGCCATCTTACCTGCTGGATGTTGCCCCACCCCATGCCCTGGGGCAGTAGAAGCCAGGTCAGGCAGTAGAATCCAGTAGAGGAAGGGGGAGCCAGAGCAAGGGGCAACAGCAACAAAGTGGCCCACAGGCTGCCAGTTGGACAGCCCTGATTTAGTCGGTTAAAAAGCTTCTGTCTTCTTATCCTTCCTAAAAGTATTTGTTTGCTTACAGTAGTAAGACTACAAATGTACTTAAAATTTTATAAGCATTTAAAATACTCACACATGACACACACAAATACACTGGCTTATTCCATAATGTAGTGCTCTAATCATCTATAGCTGGGCAAAGCATGAGGTGTGTATAACACTAGGGTTTTAATTTCATAGTTCCATAGTTATTAGGGGCTTGAAGTGATCTTTGTTGAGCTTTATGCCCCAGTTTTCCATAGGCTTATATAAATAGAACCAGATCCCATGGTTGAACTTGGACAGTAATGAGCAGATTGAGAACTGGGAGCAGCTACATGCGTACTGATTACTAGGGCTGTGCGAAGCTTCAGGTGCTGATTTGATTCAGAGGATATTAGGCCTGATTCAGTGGCCAAATCTCCAAATCCGAATCAAATCAGGAGACCAATTAAAAGGTCCGAATTGATTCGAAGCTCTCTGAATCAATTCAGAAAATATTCAGAGAGCTTCAGAGATTTGTGCAGTCCCCGCTTGCTGCTGCTGGGAGCTGGACCCAGACTCCGTGCTGGTAAGTAGGGGGCCGGGGAGGGGGGGGTGCTGGGAGAGGAGGGAGGGGACTATGGGGGGACCCCTGCCAGGTCCTATCCCCTGCCTGCTCCCCCAGCCCCCCTGAGCATCTCCCGACCCCTGCCTGGCTCCAGCTCCCAGTTCTTTAAAAAAAAGCCCCCACTCACTGGCTGCTGCCAGGCAGGGGGCAATCCCCGCTGCCCACCACTGCCCCATGCTGTATGGGAGGCCCTGCCATGAAACCTCCATCCCCTGCCTGCTCTCCCAGTCCGCACCCCATGGCTGCCCCACCCACTCCAGCTCCTGGCTCTTAAAAAAAAAAAAAAAAAAAAAAAAAAAAGCCCCGTACTCTCTGACTGCTTCAGTGGCCTCTAGGCTTCTGAGGGCTCATGGCAGAGCCCCCCCCACAGCGTGGGGAAGTGGGGGGCAACAGGGATCGTCCTGCCACCTGGTAGCAGCTGGTGAATGGGGGCTTTTTTTTTAAAGAGCCAGGAGCTCAGGCCAGGAGAGTGGGTGAGGGATGGGGGCTAGTGAGAGAGCCCCCCACAGTGCAGGGCAGTGGGGGGCAGCGGGGATCACTCTCTCACCTGGCAGCAGCCGGTGAGTGCCAGGCTTTTTTTTCTTTAAAGAGCTGGGGCCGGACAGGCAGCCATTGACAGGGCTGGGAGAGTGGGTGGGGGATGGGGCTGATTTGGAGATTCGGCTGATTTGGCAGCGGCCCAATCTCCAAATCAGATTCAGCCGAATTGATTTGAGACGGTCATTTGAATCACTGAATCGAATCACTGTTCCCTGAATCGGCTGAATGCGAATTGGCTGAATCCGAATCTAAAGTAAATACTAGCCGCTTTGCACAGGCCTACTGGTTACCAATATTCAAAGTGGGCAGAATTTGGGGCCTGCTCACAGATGCTCTCCATATCTTTGGTTATAGTCAAGGTCCAGTTCCACTTCCTGTTTCAGTTAGCGTATACACTTTTAGTGCACTATGCTAATTAACTGAACCATGTTTGAATGGCACTGTGCCTGGATAAATTAGTTCTGCTGAGTTGTCAGTGGCTACCTACCAGACCAGAATGTACGGAGTTGAATTAATGCAGCACCAGGCAATATTATGCTGAGTCCTAGTGTCAATGTAGGACAATTTTGCAATGTACCAAATTTTTCTTTGAGAGAGTCCTCACAGACAAGCACACAGTCCCAGAATGCAGTACTGATGCAGCAAATTGAAGACAATTGGTAGCTTTACCAATATTCCTAACAGCTGATGTCATTTCTTCTGAAGTCTGGACTTCCCTTGATTTTTATAATCATTGTTCCATGATGGGACTACTAATATTAATACTAAGTCAATATTATGCTGTGTGATCTTGGGATTTTGGTTTTTGTTTTGGCCAACAAAATGTACAGTTTTGAATGGAGTTTCTTCCTGGTATTTATTTAAAGGCTTTGTTTTCAACCTAAAAATGTAATCTAGATCTCATTGTTTTAAATTAATGTTTTATATTTAGTTCCAGTACTGTTAGCTGTCAGCTCTGTGTTCCTGAGGGAGCCCTGGCACCGAGCTTGCTGGACTTTTTCTATTCCCCTCCCCCCCATCTACCCAGAACTAAGCAGAAGAAAAGTTTAATAGGCATCTCAGGCCATACATTCCCCGGTCCCAGTATGGGAGACATACTTAAACTTGATTGACTAAAACCCGGTCGCCAGGTTAGGGAATGCTGAGGCAAGAGACCGAGTCAGAGGGTGTATGTGTGTATTGATTTACACAATTAAAAGAATGCTTTGAAGAGGCTGGACTAAGGGTATAAGAAAGCTGTAAAACAGCAAACAGCGTGCTTTGAGAGAGAGAAATCTCTATGACATCATCCACTGTTCTCAAGAAGCTGGGATAAACAGATCGTCTCCCTTCAACAATCGTGTTAGAAACTTTGCTTGTCAACACATCACCCGAGTGCCTTGGAACAGTGAGATCCCATCTCTCTCTCTCTCTCTCTTTGTCTTTCTCCCTTTCTCTCTCTCTTTTTCTTTTTCTCTCTAAGCATAGCTTTCTGAACCTAAATTATATTAGTTAAGCTTGAGCTAGGTTTCCCCAAATACTCAATTAAACCAGAGTAATATTGTAATTGTTTTTGTTTGTTTTCCCTTGCATGTCTATTACTACTAGTACCATTATAACTTTCATATACTTAGCAATAAATAACTTTTATAGTCAAACTGGTAGTAATTGGGTGTATTTTTCCTTCTCTACTTCCCCTTCCCCACTTGCTCAGCAGCAACGCTTCTTTTACCTAAGCCAAAGATCCCTGTGAAGCCCAGAAATACTGTGGGGTCTGCTCATCAAGAGGCTACCACTACTAGGACAGTTAGGGCAAAAGATTGGGACGTGCCGAGTTTGAGACACAAAAGGGGATCAGCTTGTATAGGCTGATTGACCCAGTTTGGCCATATGAACTGAATGCTGGCCCATAAGGGTGTCAGCTGGACACCCAGCTGGATTCAGAGGTATTCTGTTCGCCTGTGTGCTTATGTCTGACTGCATTTTATTGTTACCTTCATGACGTGATTCCTGGCATATGAGGGTGTCAGCCTGTACATGCTGATCAACCCTGCCAGTTCACGCGTGTCACGATATTCTGCGTGTGTGTGTGTATTTGACTATTTTGGTGTCTGGAGGAGCCCAGCCCTGCAAGATAGCTCCTTTGGGGGTGAGTACTTGTAGAAGGGAGAGATACAGCTCCGTATAGAAACACAAGTAACACAAGCAGCACATTGATAGAATTACAAAGACACTAGAAACGTATCCCTAATAAATGAGCACACCCCAAAGTGATGGGCAAATCTGGTAACAGTACCACTATGAAGATGTATTCAACAGTTGTGGCATTGGGGTGCATGTTCCAGCAGGTACTGTCAGCATGTCTCTTTCTTCTAAGACATGGCTGGAGTCAGGATGAGGGGTGTTTCTAACCAAGTTAGGTACTCCGTTGGATTGGAGGAATCCTGAACTAGCCAGTTAGGTCAGAATTGTGCTAGCTTTGCACCACGGTCACTGCATAAGCAGTTGTTTTAGTGTCAAGGATCTACCCCACAGCCTCTTCAACAAATATTAGGAAGGACTTTATATTATGACACCCTTATCTACAGAATCAATAGGCATAATAGACAGAAAGATGGATCAGACAGACTGGCATATGAAACAAGACCATACCTGAAGAATCAACTGGCTGAGTGGATGCTAAGTCTTCATAAGCAGAAGACTTATGACTTACGAAGACTCTTCATTTTGGCAAATGATCACCCCATATAATGAGAAGTGGAAAAGTCTAGCCATGCTACAGTTAGAGAGAAAAGGAGAAACAGAAATGGATATTTTAGTGCCATATTTTAGTGCCAGCCACACTGTGTGCTTCCAGCTGCCATAGAGTCTGATCTTGCTGACTATCAGGGTCCAGACCCAAAGCCCACTGAAACTGAGAGCCTTTCTGTCAACCGTAGTGAATTGTGCGTCATGTCTTAAATATGTCATGCCAATCCATTGCCATTGCTCCTTAGCAAAATCTTCGGCAGTCCAAAAATGGAAACATTCTTTCTGTATTTCTGTAAGTTTTTTGAGGAAAAACACATCTATCCTAATCCCAGAGTTACATTGTGCATCAAAAACAAGCAACAGTTTGCCAGAAAGTCAGAGAGACTTTGGTTCTTGCACACAGAAGTTACCTCTAGAAAATGGAATTTAGGATCCTAAGTCTATTATGCAACTGTTTTTGAATTATAACACAGAGCATTTTATAGATCAAAGGTCTGAAGATTGATTCTAATGCACAGAACAGTATGTTTTATCTCCTTTTTTGTTTGTAACATAATCAACTTGCTACAAATTTCTTCTCAAATAGTATTAGTGATAGTGCAATAGACATCCTAATTTATTTGCACAATTGAAAAATGAGATGCATGAAATAGTTCCCTAATAGTGCTGTTCATTTTAAATCTGGAAAGTAGGCTTTCATCTTCTAAAAAGTTAATCCTGCCATCAGTCATTTTTGCTCATTCATTATTTAATGCATTTGTAGAGTTTGATA